GCGTCCTCAAGGACAAGCTACGCGAGATCGGCGTCTAGCAGAACGCAGGAAAGGAAGCCGCCCTACCCGCGTTTATCGGCAAGGGGGCGCATCGCTACGCGCGATCACTACGCCGCGGCAAGATTCAGATTGACGGCGGAGTGCGCCACTCCACGGCCTTTCCCGGCCCCGTGGTGCAAGCCAATGGCCTCGATCGACGACGCCGAGCTCAAGGCGCGCTGCGTCTCTGCTGCTCGTGGATGGCGAAGCGTGGGGCGTGTCTGGGCCACGTGCAGGTGCATGGGGCGACGGAAGGTGGCGTTTCGATGTTAAGCTATCTCCGCTGCACTTTCGGGGCTCGAAGCACGAGCCCTCGCCGCGCCACAACTGGCGCGACTGGATGCATGCGTTGCCCGCTACGCTCGCGCTCTACTACAAGGTACTGCATGCATCGAGCAGACGGCCGACGGCAACGCTGAGAGCGGCGCCAGGGAGGTCATCATAACCATCACGTCCATTGAGGCTTGGAATTGGCTGAAGATGGTTCCACCCTCATTCGACCAACGCCTACTTCGCCTGAAACGCTGGCAACGCGTAGCCAAGGCACCCGAACATCACGCCCAACTACTGGCGAGTGTATTCGGCAAGCTACAGTGCGAGACGACCGCGATCGAGTTCGCCTGGGCACCCGCAGGACTCGCGCGACCGACGCAGGTGGACAACCCGTGGATACATCCGATCAACGCCGATATGCAGATATTGCAGGTCTTTGCGGATGGGCGCGCCTGCCTCGACGTGATTGGGGATGATTTATTAGACATTTCCGACCGACACCTGGACGTGACGTTCTTGTCAAAGTGACGCTTGGGCGTCAACGGAGATGGTGGCTGGAGCAGCCTGCCCCGCCGCGCGGGGTGCAGCCAGAGGCAGACGACCCCTGGTCCCGCCACGCGTGCGGACTCTTGCGTGAAAATGGTGCGATATGCCTCTTCGCCGTAAAAAACGAAACGAGCGCTCCGAGTACATCGAACTATGGGTGGGGAGGGTGGTGGGCGCGGACGGATATGTGTACGTGCAAGATTCAAGATTACGAACCACTTCCCATATTGCCGATCGACATTCGCGAGCCGACAGACAGCGATATACCACCTAGCAGCCGCATTCCGATCGGGACGATGTCAGAAACAGTGTTCAATTTACAATTTCGATGCGAACGACTCCCTCCAGTTTTTTTTTTGGTCCGAGCGAGGACTGCGAGCTGTCGTTCTCTACCCTTGCTGACCTGCGTGCCCATATCCCCGACGCGCACCTACATGCGCCCCGTCCCCATGTCCTGGATGGGCTCGCTACCCGCCCATGGCGCGCCCGCGAGCGCAGAGGGGCGAGACGCCGCCCCTGCGCTGCGGAGCCCGCGCGGAGACGGGCCATGGAGAGAGTGGCAGAATGGAGCGTGGGACAACAAGCAGATCGACACGGACGCTCCGCCACTTATGGCGATGGACCCGCAGGACATGCAACGCCTGATTCCCATCGCCGCGAAGCTGCTGCTGAACGCCGCGAAGAGACAGAGGCAGACCGAGGCCATCCTGATACGTGTACGAGACCGAGTACGTCGAGTCACGGATATTCGCAGCGCTCCACCATCGGCGCAGATCGAATCCGAGCCGGACATGTTCAGCCCCGTCGGTGCCACCGCACCCGCGGGCATCATCCTTGAAGATTACAGCAAGGAAGGGGCGGCCGTCAGAGATCCCAGCCAGCAGGGTATCAAATCACTACACGACATGCGAATGCAGTCGGACATCAAGACCAACGCCGAGCTCGCCCCCCAGGCGGAAGACAACGACGCGCACGACCCTAACCAATTCAAGACCCAGCGGTGCGCACAGAAGAACAGCGACGCAGATTACACATTGATCCACGACGTCCCTCACCAGACAGGCGCGACCTACAAGCTGATATACGGACTGATAAAGCATCTGGAGCGCTACCACTACACGCGGCTGACGAAGATGGGCGATGGGACGACGGGATAAACGATGCGATTATCCGTCTATGTTGGACGCGACACAGTTGCGCGCGGTGGAGCTTTGTACATAACCGTCAATTATGGCCGAGGGAACGAGCGATCCTCATATATGAAAGAGCGTGTTCTACCGCTGCTGGCGGAAAACCGGGGGGGGTCACTGCCAGCTCGAACCCGTTCCCCCCCCCTCCGGAAAACCGAGGGGGGGTCACTGCCGGTTCGAAACCTTCCCCCCCCAGTCCATCATGGAAAGGGGGGGGGTGACAGCGGGGCAGTGGTGGGGGCAGTGGGACAGTGGTGGGGGCGGTAGTGGTGGGGGCAGTGGTGAGGACAATGGTGGGAGCAGTGGGGGCAGTGGACAGTGGTGGGGGCGGTGGTGGTGGGGGCAGTGGCGTGGTGTCAGTGGGAATGTGGTGGAAACAATGGGACAGCGGAGGGTGCAATGGTGGTGTGGGCAGTGGTGAAGGCGGTGGCGAGGACGGCGGTGGGACAATGGGACAGAGGTACAGTGGGGGCAGTGGTGGGGGCAGTGGGGACAGTGGGACAGCTCAGTGGGGCAGCGGAGGAGTCGGTGGGACAGTGAGGACAGTGGGGATAGTCGGGCAGTGGTTGGGGCCGTGGAGAAAGTGGGAAGAGTGGAACCGTGGTGGGAACAGTGATGGGGACAGTGGGGGCTGCGACAGTGGTGGGGGCACTGGTGGGGACAGTAGGGGCTGTGGCGGAACCAGTGGGGACAGTGGTGGTGAGGACAGTGGTGCTGGGACACAGGGAACACGGTGGGGATGTGGTGCGGACGGTGGTAGGGGCCGGGAGTCGTTTGCTGGCGGTGAGGGGGTGGGTGGGGAGGGGTTCGAACCGGTAGTGGCCCCCCTCCGGTTTTCGAGGGGGGGTTTTCGAGGGGAGAGGGGGGGGGGTGCCAGGGGAGGGGGGGGGGGGATTCCAGCGGGGGGGTATTTTCGGAGGGGGGGGGGGGGGGCCGGGTTCCGGACGAAGAGGGGGGATCTTCCATAGTAAAGCGGCGGTGGATCACGCTCTCTCTCATATATCGACACATCCTACACCTCCTGTTTCTTTGGACCTGGAGCGCCGACGCGCCCTGAGTTCGCCGACGCCGCAGACTGCATCTACAGATATCCAAGGCATGGGATGCCCACAGAGTTCGCTTACACTGCAGATAGCGACCACCGGCTATCCAGGCATTGGCTCGACCTCGTTGCAGATGGTCACGACCGACGATGGGAGAATGTGCGATCTTCTCCCGCGGGGGACTACAGTGCAGAGAGCTTCTTGTGATCGTCCTTCGGCCGGTGGCACTTGTCCCTGCCCTATCAAAACAGCTGCGCTGATGGGGCGTGCCCGCGCGATCGCAGATCGTCAGCGAGTGGGTGGCCCTGAGATGCCGCCGCATGAGACATGCCCCAGCACGTTTGCGCGCACTTTTGCTCGCCCGCTTGCTTGTGCCCCCCAGCCTTGTGCCCTCCCGCGCCCGCCCCCGCTCCTCCACCAGCGGCGAATGCGAACGCACCGTTAAGAGGCCTCGCCGAGACCCTTTCGCCCCACTGCCGATTTCGATGGCGCGCAGTGCTTCCCTTCCACCCAGGCTCCAGAGCCGCCAGTCGGGTACAGACGCTCGAACAATGGATGCCATAATGAAACTCGTAGGATCCAGCAGGCGCTAAGACCTGCGATCGTGGATGAGTTTTGCCCGTGTGTAACAGCTTGGTTTGTCTTCGGGTGTAGCTGGCAAATGTCTTACCTCGTTGATTGCATCTCTTGTTGCATGGGCTGTGACACCGAAGCCGTTTCGATTCGAACCAGCGGCAGAAAATCAGTTGTGATGGCAGCGGAGCCGGATGACTCCACGGGTTAAACGCAACAAGCGCGGCACGCGCTCAAAGGCTCGCCGAGACTCGCGGGAGGCGAGGGGCGAGCAGCGGCGCGCGGCAGCGACGCTGCGGCGGCTGAGTGAGAGGAGAGCGCGCCGGACTGCGCTCGACCTCGCTGCGGGTAGCACCGCGCGAGAGGACCATCCCGCTGCGGGTAGCCCCGCGCGGGGGGATCCTGCTGCGGGTAGCGCCGCGCAGGAGGAGGCGGTCGACGATCCCGCTGCGGGTAGCCCCGCGTGGGACGAGACCGAGGAGGAGGTTGAGGACAGGTTCCAGTAGGAGCCATGGAGACAGCCATGCAACAGATGGCTGAGACAGTCAGGCAGCTGCAAGCGCGGCGGCAGCAGGCCGCGGGACGGCCGCTGCTGGGGGTGCAGGAGGTCAGGCGCCGAGGGCGCAGGCCTCTGCGAGCGTGGGGGTGGGCACCAGGCTGCTAGGCAAGCCCAGCGACTTCTCCGGGGAGAAGACCGCGTGGCGGGACTGGAGCGCTGTCTTCCGGGCTACGCTGGGGCCGCAGTCCCACGGCTCGCGTCGTTGATGATGTCGGCTGCCGAGTCGACCGATCCAGTGCCAAACGTGACGCTGACTGCAATCAAATGGACGCTCAAGCCAGTGCTCAGCTCTATTGGATGTTGCTCATGCTGTGCAAAGGTGCGGCGCTCAACATCGTTCTCCTCGCGGGGGGCAACGAGGGGCTGGAAGCATGGCGGAAGCTAGTGGGCGAGTGCGAGCTGGGCAATTGATGAACGTCCTTTCCTTCTCGCTGCAGGGTGACATCCCTGAGCGCATCGCGGCGTGGGAACGCGAGATCGCCGTTTCTGAGCGGGGCTCGAAGAAGGCCCTCGACGACGAGGTCAAGATCGGGGCGTTCCTGCTACGTCTCCCCGAATCGCCTCTCAAGACACACCTCTTGATGAGGGTGGACCAGCGCTGACGAGGTGGATCGATTTCCGGGCGGAGGTCGTAGCCATCAGCAGGTCGATCGCCATTGCGCAGGCTCAGCCGGTGCCGATGGACATTGGCGCCGTCGCCAAAGGAGACTGTCGTGGCAGGCCTGGCGGCGGTGCCGGGGGCACGGGCCGCGGCGGTCAGCACCGGCAGCAGCGCGCATGTCCAAGATGCGGCCACTCCACCCGACGAGGCTCAGTCAGAGCGGGGGGTACTACGTGGCAGCTGGGGGCGGCCGGCTGTATGACCAGGGCGCGCGGATCCTCGGGCTGGAGGCGGGCGACGCCCACGGCCAGGCGGTCAACCTCGTCGCGCGCTTCCGTGTCATGGGTATCGCCAAGGCGTTGTTGGCGACGGACGACCTGAGCAGGTGCCAGTGGGAGACGGTGGTCCCTGCTGACGGTGGCGGGGCCTATATTTTCCAGAGAGCCTCCGGGACTCGCATCGACCTCGTGCGGAAGCGACGGGCCTGGCACCTGAAGGTACGCCTGAAGCCACACGAGGACTTGCCGTTCACCTCGGCGCAGGTGCTGTCCGAGGTCGCGTCGATGGAGGACCGAGGGATTTACCCTCTCGACGTGGATGTTGGGACGGAGGCTGAGGAGGGAGCACCAGTCAAGAAGATGGTGGATCCCACTCGGCCGACGGCGGCTGAGCGTGAGGAGCACATCGCAGGTGGCCATGCGGTCTTCCGCACGTGGTGCCGGGAGTGCTGCGTCGGGCGTGGCCGGATGCACCGCCGCACCTCTGGTGGCCCAGAGGACAGCATCCCGGCGGTGGGTTGCGATTACGGCTACTTGAACAACAGGGGCGACGACGGCCAGGGCCAGCCTAACGCGCCCCTGCAGTGCAGCAGGTGCACGGGGGATCGTTGGCTAGGAGCCGCAGTGGTTCCAGCGAAGGGGGCCGACGAGTACGCGGTGAAAGAGCTGAAGGGCGACGTCGTGGGCAGCGGCTTCGACGAGGTTATCCTCAGGAGCGACGGCGAGGCGTCCATTGTGGCGCTGAAGACGTCGGTTGCGGCGGCGCTCAAGCTCGAGGGCGTGCGCGTGAAGCTGGAGGAGTCCGCCGGGTACGACTCGCAGGGCAACGGCCTCGCGGAGGCCGCCGTGCGCGAGGTGAAAGACGCCGTGCGGGCCAATCTGGCGTGCCTGACGGTGCGGTACGGCCAGAGCTTCGACGGACAGCGCCCCATCATCCCCTGGTTGGTGAAGTATTCGGTTGCGATGATCAATCGCGTGCGCCGCGGGGCCGACGGCAAGACGGCCTTTGAGCTTCGCAAGGGGCGCGGTTTCGCTAGAGCCCTTCCGGCTTTCGGGGGGAAGGTGCTCTTCGTGATCCCAGGTGTGACCAAGGCTCCGGCCCGGGTCGAGCCTCGCTGGGGGGATGGCGTGTTCTTGGGCCTGTCTGAGCGGAGCGACGAGCTCTACGTGGGCACATCCAGGGGCATGCGCAAAGTGGGGGCGGTGCGAAGGCGCGAGGCGACGGAGCGTTACGACGTGGCGTTCCTGAACACCGTTACTGCTCGTCCCTGGGACGGGCCACGGAGCTTACGGGCTCCAGCGCGAGTCATTTTGCCTGACTTGCCAACTCCGGTGGTGGATGCCGAGGAGGCGCCTTCGGCGCCCCGCCGTGTTTACCTCTCGAGGGAGGACTTCGTGAAGCATGGGTTCACGCAGGGATGCCCTGGTTGCAGGGCGATCGCCGAGAATGAGCGGGCGCAGATGCATTCGGAGGATTGCAGGATGCGCCTGGAGACCGAGTTGGCCAAGACAGACGCGGGCTGGCAGCGGCTCACGAAGGCCTTTTGGAGGGCTATGTCTGCGGGGCAGGCCCAGGAGGCGCGTGAGGAGGTCACGGGAACGACTACAGCGGCTACGGCGGCTGCAGCGGCTCCGGCGGCGGCTTCGTCCTCAGGCGCGGGAGGCACGGGAGCGACTACAGCGGCTACGGCGGCTACAGCGGCTCCGGCGGCGGCCTCGGGCGCGGGAGGCACGGGTGCGATTGCAGCGGCTGCGGCGGCTCCAACGGCAGCCTCAGGAGTTCCTGCTGCGGTAGGGGGGCCAGCGCAGCGACGCCGCCTGCCCAGGACACAACCCTGGCGGACCGTGACGGTTCGGAGATGGGCACGAGTCCGCCGAGTAGGAAGAGGCAGATCGAGATCCAGGCGCCCGGTGCGGAGGGCGACATGGACACTGCGATGGTGGCCGCAAGGGGTCTGCATGCGGACGCCGTGGGGCTCGTGGAGGCGTATTCTCTGGCGCGCCCGCGGCGCAAGGCCAGCGCCTTCGGCTTGCGCGCCGGCGTGGCCGTGGATTTGCGCCTGGGCTGGGACCTGGGGCGCGACGACGAGCAGCAGGAGGCGCAGGGGCGGCTGGACTTGGAGAAGCCGTACTTGCTTGTCCTCGGCCCACTGTGGTCGGACACATCTCAACTCCACGAGCTATCGACGCACCCTCGGAGGTTGCAGGGGTTGTTGGAGACGGGCCGCAAGCATCTCGAGTTCGCGTGCTCGCTGGCGCGGCAGCAGGTTGCGAGGGGCGGCCGGGTGCTCTTCGAGCTCCCCTGGGAGGCAGCCTCGTGGAGCGAGGAGTGCATCGTCGAGCTGTTGGCGACGAGTGGCATGCAGCGCGTCCGATGCGACCAGTGCCTCTTCGGCCAGATTTCGGTGGATGGATCTGGCCAAGTGGGGCCAGCTCGTAGGGCGACTGGGGTTATGACGAACGACCCGTTCATCGCTCGAGCCGTGGCGCGACGGTGCCATGGAGGGCACGAGCACGTACAGTCGCTCGGAGCCCCGGCGAAGACGTGCGAGAAGTATCCGCGCCTTTTGGTGGCGGAGATCCTTCGAGTTTTGAGGAGCTCGATGCGCGCTGCTGGAGTCGGCGCGGCGGATGGGGATGCTCGGCAATGGCCGCGAGCTGACTATCTCCGCGGTGGAGGCCTGTCCTGTCCTGAAGGAGCCGGAGCTCTTGGCGAGGCTGGCGACGACGGAGGAGGAGAAGGCATTCCGTGACCGATGCACGGGGCTCCCATTAGATCCTGAGCGAGTGCGAAGCGCAAGGGCAGAGAAGATGAGGTACATTGAGGAGTTGAAGGTTGTGGAGTTGAGTGACCACGAGACGTGCGTACAGGAGACTGGTTCACCTCCGATTCCAACTGATTGGGTTGACATCGACAAGGGCGATCCCTCTCGACCGAATTATAGGTTGCGGCTCGTGGCACAGGAGACGCGCAGACGGACGACCATCGACGTGGACGATTGGGCAGCGACGTTCGCTGCGACCCCTCCGTATGAGGCTTTCCGTCTGCAGCTCATTTTGTTAATGACGGGTCCGAGGCCTGAGAACCCCAATGATGAGGAGGTGTTGATGCTGTTGGACATTTCGCGCGCACATCTCCACGCACCCTTGAACCGGGTGGTTTTCGTGAGGATCGACGGCCAGGTCTACAGGCTGCTGAAGGCCATGTATGGTTTGAGGGATGCAGGCGCGTCTTTCGACAGGAAGACCGAATCCACCATGAACGTCATGGGCGTGACCTTGGGGAAGTTCAGCGTCTGCTTGGGCTACCGTAAGTGTGGCGACTCCGTTGTTCGGAGCGTGCGGTGGGGCGACGACTTCTCCTTGAGTGGTAAGAGGTTGCACTGCGCGGAGTTCCGGGACGAGCTCGGCAAGCACCTCCTAGTGAAGCATGCTGTCACGTTGGGTCCGAACCCAGAGCACGGCGACGTGGGCGAGGCCACCTACTTGAACAGGATCGTGCGGTGGTTCCCTGTCGGCTCGGAGGGCGGCGAGCGGATCGAGCTGGAAGCCGACCCGCGGCACGCCGAGATCTTGGCGCAGCAGTTGGGTCTGGACGAGGAGCGGGTGAAGGCCGTTGCGACGCTGGGCGTCAAGCCGACCGGCGACGACGACGACGATGACGGACGAGAGCTTGATCCCGAGGCCAGGTCTAATTACAGATCCTCGGCCATGCGTGCGAGCTACCTGGCGCAGGACCGCTGCGAACTGCAGTTCGCGTGCAAGGAGCTCGCCCGGCGCATGCAGGCGCCGCGCCAGAAGGACATGCAGGCGCTCAAACGTCTTGGGTGTTTCCTGAAGGAAGCGCCTCGCTGCCTGGTGGTGTACCGGCGGCAGGCTGACCAGACGGTCGTGGACGTGTTCAGCGTCAGCGATTGGGCTGGGTACCGGAAGACCCGGCGCTCGATTTCATCGTCGTACACCATTTTGGGACAGCATCTGATCACGACCAGCAGCACGACGCAGAACGTCGTGGCCACGAGCTCTGGCGAGGCGGGGTTCTACGCCTTGACCAAGAGTGCGAGCCGCGCGATTGGCACCGTTGCCATGGCGGCTGATCTGTTCAAGGTCCTGAAGCCGCGCGTGCGCGTAGACGCCGGCGCGAGCAAGGGCATTGCTTCCCGACGCGGCGTTGGGAAGGTGAGGCACCTCCACACCCAGACCCTTTGGGTGCAGGAGGCCGTGGCCAAGCGGGAGCTGGTCATCTAGAAGGTGCCAGGGAACGACAACCCAGCAGACATGGGAACGAAGCACTTGGCAGTGCGCGAGATGACGGAATGCTTACGCAGGGCTCGCGGCGAGCTGCGTTCTGGCCAGCGGTCGGTCGAAGCTGGCGCTGCGGGTCGCCACTGGTGCGACGGCTTGAGCCGGCGACCCGCCGTTACGACGGAATGGGTGCAGGACGGCATCATCGGCTACGGGCGTTGAGAGCACCGGGACGCGGGTAGCCCCGCTCCCACCCTGGATGCGGGTAGCTCCGCTCCAGGCCCGCCTCGGCGGGCACACGTGCATGTGACGGCGGCGTTTCCGACCTGAATTGCACGAGTTCGCATTTAGGCGGGTTCGGCAGACGTTGAAGGGGCGTCTTCCCAACCCGAGGGGCGTGGCAATTGTCATACCTCGTTGATTGCATCCCTTGTTGCATGGACTGTGACATCGAAGCCGTTTCGATTCGAGCCAGCGGCAGAAAATCAGTTGTGAGTAGCCCGATCCCAGAGGCACTCAGACGTTCCTGACCCTACGAACTGCTGCCTCAGAGGGGACCATTCCGATCCGATGTATGTATGCATACATGCATGCATACATGCATGCATGCATGCATGTATGTATATATGTATGTATGTATGTATATATGTATGTATACATGTATGTATGTGTGTATGTATGTATGTTTATATGTATGCATGCATGCATGCATGTATGTATGTATGTATGTATATATGTATGTACGTATGTATGTATGCATGTATGCATATATGTATGTATGTATGTATGAATGTGTGTATATATGTGTATGCATGTATGTATGCATGCATGAATACATGCATGTACGTATGCATGTATGTATGCATGCATGTATGGAAGTGTGTGTTGTATGTTTGTATGTGTATGTGTGTGCATTTATGTATGCATGTATGTATGGATGCATGCATGTATCCATGTATGTATGTATCAAGAGTATGCTGGTACATGGCTCTGTCTATACACGGTGCTTCAACACAAGCAATTATTGTGCTGATGCCCAGGCTCATGGAGTACTTTACCCAACTTGCCCGCTTGCTGTCTTCGGTGCAGCTCGAACATGAAGAAAGCCTCGGCTTTGCACCCAACGTCTCGCATCGTAGAGTTCAGAGTCTAAACTTGGGAAACGCACGCGCGTGTCTTTTATTTTCGCAGATTTCTAAAACTGTACCAGTAAGGCCCTGCTGCAGTTAGACTCGCAGCTCGTGCCATGAAAAGAGCTCCACTGCTAATCTCACCCTGTCCCCAGGTGCGAAAGATGCCTTGCGATCGTCACTCTTCTGCTCTTAGCCAAAGGTTCATTGCTATGCTTTTCTGGGGACGCCTCCATGTTCGGCTCCAAATTTCAGGCAAGCCAGGAGGATGAAGATGAACGCTCTAGCTTGGGGAAACTGTCGATGGGGATCTGGAGAACAACGGTCTCAAGATCCCGAAGGCGGTGAGCTACGTCAGAACAGTGTTTCACTTCATCCCTTAAACGTGTCACGGTTGCCTCAAGGTGCCCAACACGTCTGGTCAAACGTCTGTTTGGACTGCCATGACCTCGGCAGTCGCTTGCGCTATCCACTCGTGGAGCGGCAGCTGCAGCAGCGGCTGCAGCGATGGGGGCAGATCTCCTCAGCAGGCTCTGCGGAACGAGTGTCCTGTTTGTGCAGGCGTCAGCCGCAGCCGCCAGCCGCAGCCGCCAGTCGCCAGCTGACCGAAGTCAGCCGACAGCCGCGGCCGACAGGCGGCAGCTGACAGCCGTCAGCCGTCAGCTGGTCACTGCTGCCCTGAGCTGGTCAGTGCTTGCCTCCCCTCCCCTCTGTCTTCGAGGTCAGCAGCGAAAGAGCTCAGGTAGAATGCACGGGCACAAGCACACCTCGTACATTGCCACGCACGTATGATAGCTGTTCCCCCATGAGCAGGACACGGGTGCTGACCGTCTCATCAGCCGATCTCCACCATGTGGGGGAAACCCGCGGTCGGCTTCTCGGGGGGTCGCGCCGAGATCTGGCCAGGCCTAGGGCCTCGGAGGGGAATCTTTGGCTTTGTGGGGCCTGGGCGTCCGACGTCGTAGCTTTTTCACGGCGCGGCTCCACAGAGGTCTAGACATCTTCCTGGGGACGGTCTTTTGGTCCTAAGCCGTTTTGGTACAGCCTCCAGGCCCAGTTAGGGCCCCCCGAATGTGATGCTTTGCCACGACGCGAGGAGTTCAGGGTGGGAGGCGGAGGCCCTCTCTGGAGGCCTCCCGGGGTCCGTGGAGGCTCCGTCAGGTCGTCCAGAGGCTTCCGGATGCGCAGAGAGGGCCCCAAACGCTAAAAGACCTCGATCGTCGATTGTCGTCGATTGTCGTCGACCGCCGCCGCCGCCGCCGCCGCCGCCGCCGCCGCCGCCGCCGCCGCCGTCGTCGTCGTCGTCGTCGTCGTCGTCGTCGTCGTCGTCGTCGTCGTCGTCGTCGTCGTCGTCGTCGTCGTCGTCGCTGGTCCGGCCCCCTGCGGGCTTGCGCGAGGCTTACCCTGGCCTCAGTGGCACGCTGGCCTGGACCCTGGAGGCTGCGCTGTGCTAGGGGGTGAGGGGGGGTCCTCCTCCTGGTGATCCTGTGATCCTCCTCTTCCTCCTTTCCTTTTCGTTTCCCCCTCGGAGGAGGCGGAGGAGTCGGAGGAGGAGGAGGAGGAGTCGGAGGAGTCGGAGGAGTCGGAGGAGTCGGAGGAGTTGGAGGAGTCGGAGGAGTCGGATGAGTCGGATGAGTCGGATGAATCGGTTCAGTCGGAGTCGGGTTCGGAGTAGGAGGATGAGGAGGAGGAGGAGGAGGAGGAGGAGGATCAGGAGGACGAGGAGGATGTCAAGGATGATGCTGCTGCTGATGCTTATGATGATGCTGATGATGATGACGCTGATGATGATGCTGATGATGATGATGCTGATGATGATGCGATGATGATGAGGAGGAGGAGGATAGGGGAGTAGGATGAGGAGGAGGACGAGGAGGAGGAGGAGGAGCAAGAGGAGGAGGAGTAGCAGGGGGAGGAGGATAAGGGATGATAAGGAAGGGATCGAGACTGTGGAAGCGAGCTGTTCTATTTGGTGGAGCCTTCAGGGACTTCACATGCATTCAGAAGTTTCGCGGCCTCCGACGACAACGACGAATGTGGGACATAGCCAACGCCGACGACGAAAACGACGAAGGTTTGTTGTTGTTGTTGTTGTTGTTGTTGTTGTTGTTGGCGTCGTAGTCGTCGTCGTCGTCGGTGTCGTTGTTGTGTTGTTGTTGCTGTTGTTGTTGTTGTTGTTGTTGTTGTTGTTGTTGTTGTTGTTGTTGTTGTTGTTGAACATTATTAATTCTAAAGAATAATTATTGTTGGGGCCCCTGGTGCACGGCCCCCCTGCGCCGCCTAGGCCGCAGCTACATTTTCATCATTTTCGTGAGGAAGCCTCAGGTAATACGATGTCATCAAGATCCGGTTGTTTTGTTGTAATCCGTTTTCCCTTGCAAAAAACACTATAAAATGACATTTCTTGTTCTAATATAATCAAATTTCAAGAATCCCTTGCAAAAAATAAGGTAAAGTGGACATTCGCGCGCGCAAGACGAAATCCTTCCAAAAGCTTAGTGTTCGGAGCGATTTTAACATAAAAACATCAAAAAACCAATGGTTTTTCAACAAAAAAATGTCAAAATCTCATCCCGCGCGCTCTTGCGGATTCGTAGGAAACCCAACACTTTTTAAACATTTCTGTCAAACGGGCTTTTGCGAGCAACTTTTTCGAACTTCTGCGACAACGGTTGCGCACCTGCCAGGGCCATCATCCCTGTCAAATAATACCATGCGGGACACATTCGTTTTTTCTTCGCGCGCGCACGCCGAAATCTCCAAAAACCATTGGGCTTCTTAAGAATTTTAGCACCGCGCATCATAAAATCACACGAATCGCACCGTAGGTCCTCGAAAAACACCTGCACGACTTTTCAAAATTTCTACCCGCGCGCGCTGTCCGAATCCTGTGGAAGGCTTAACAACTTCTGTGGGTTCACAAGGCTTAACAACTTCTGTGGGTGTACGAACGTAGGCTGAACAACTTCTGTGGGTGTGTACTCCACGCCAGTGTAGTAGCCACGGTCGTCCGCAGGCCACGAAGTGAAGTGTCCGAACGTCATAGGGCGGGAAGCTGGGTGTGGGTGGTGGCGAAGAGTCGTGTGGATATTTGGTAGAGCTTGCACTGCCCCCCCACAAAGTGGGGGTATTGGCTGGCGTCGCATGAAAACCCTGGCACGGGTGAGAACACTGAGCGTTCGGGTAAAGTGATTGTTGTTGTTGTTGTTGTTATTGTTGTGGTTGTTGTTGTGGTTGTTGTTGTGGTTGTTGTTATTGTCATTGTTGATCCCCCCCGTCCGGTGCACATTGTTTTTTTCGATTGAAGTGCCCTTCCCGGGGCTCGCACCCTGTTTTTTATAAGGGAAAGTCTTGAGGGCCAAACTGTGTTGTTGGCCCCCGGTTTACAACAACAACGGCTCTCGCTTGATAACTCCTCATAATTTATTAAAGAATCGCGCTCTCGCTTCGGACTTCCTTGCAATTTACCACCGGATCGCGGTTCCCGTTTGATACTTCCTCACAATTTGTTCAAGAATCGCGTTCTCGCTTGGGACTTCCTCGCAACTTACCACCGAATCGCGGCTCCCGCCTGATACTTCCTCACAATTTATTCAGATGCCGCTCCTCGACACTCAGGAATCGCGCTCCCGCTACATATTGCCTGGCGGTTCAAGCAGAATTTACGCTTCAACGACCCGCCCGCTCGACCCGCCCGTCTGGGCCTGCCCGCCCGACCAGCCCGTTAGGGACTGCAGTCGCCGCTCGCTGCCCTTCGCCCGCCTTCGATGCCCCTCGCTGCCCGTACTGGTTCCGCGGTCGCCTTCGCTCGCTGCCCTTCGTGGCCCCGTTGCTGCCCTCAGTGGCCCCGTCGCTGCCCATTGTGGCCCCGCATTCTATGCCCTTCGTGGCCCCCGCTCGCAGTCGTCCCTCGTGGCCCCATACGCATGCCCTTCGTAGCCCCGCTGTCGCCGTTCGTGGCCCTCTCGCTGCCCTTCGTGGCCCCTTCGCTTGCCCCTCCCCTCCCTCCCTCCGATCCCTTCGTCCTGATTCTCCCCCGTTATCTGTTACCCTTCGGGCTTCACCAAGCACACGTGGCAGGGAATGAATATACCCCCCAAAAGGGGGTAAGATGGAAGACGAAGAGGGTGGGTATCCAGGGCTGGGGATATGCATTTTGAACGACACGCGAGCAGATAAGAGTGAGCAGTCTCAAAATGATTGTTGTTGTTGTCGTCGTCGTCGTCGTCGTCGTCGTCGTCGTCGTTGTTGTTGTTGTTGTTGTTGTTGAACATTATTCCTTCTAAAGAATTATTATTGTTGGGACCCCTGGTGCGCGACCTCTGCGCCGCGCCTAGGCCGCAGCTACATTTTCATCATTTTTCTGCGAAAGCTTCAGAAAAGTGGATTACCCCCGGATCCGGTTTTTTGTTGACGCTCGTTTTCCCTTGCAAAAAACAATAGAAAATGAAAATTCTTGTTCTTACTTGATCAAATTGCAAGAATCCCTTGCAAAAAATAAGGTAAAGTGGACATTCGCGCTCGCAAGACGAAATCCTTCCAAAACCTTAGGTTTCGTAACGATTTTAACATAAAAACATCAAAAACCCAATGGTTTTTTAAGAAAAAATTGTCAAAATGTCCTTCCGCGCGCTCTTGCGGATTCATAGGAAACACACCACTTTTTAAACATTTCTGTCAAAAGGGTCTTTGCGTGCTACTTCTTCAGGTGCTTTGAACTTCTCCAACAACGGTTGCGCGCCTGCGAGGGCCACCATCCCTTGCAAAAAATGAGACGAAGTGCACATGCGCGCGGCCGCCGCGCGCGCATGTCGAAATCCTGCCAAACACAATGGGTTTTCAATAATTTCAAGATGCGATGTTCAGAAAACATATGAAAACGCACTACTTTCTCATCCGAAAAATCTCGAAATCCATTCGCGGTCTCTTGATGAATCTTTAAAACCCAAGATGGCCCCAACAGGCGCGCAAGATGGCCCCAAGAGGCGTCCATGAGGCCCAAAGAGGCGCCCAAGATGGTCCCAAGAGGCTTCAAGAGGACTCCAAGAGGCCCCCAAGAGGTTCCAGAGAGGCTCCAAGGTGGCTCCAAGAGACCCCCAAGATGGCCCCAGGAGGCGTTCTAGAGGCCCCAAGAGTCCGCCGTGAGGGTCCAATAAGCCCCCAAGAGGCCCCAAGAGTCCGCCGTGAGGGTCCAATAATCCCCACGAATTTGCCCCAAAAATGTGACCAACTATCTTGGCACTGCGTACCATCTCACGTGTACCGTGTACCACATCATATGTAACAGATGTGATCAACCTCTGTGGGTGTGTACCCCGCGCCAGTGTAGTAGCCAGGGTCGTCCGCACGCCACGAAGTGAAGTGTCCCAACGTCATAGGGCGGGAAGCTGGGTGTGGGTGGTCTCGAAGAGTCGTTTGGATATTTGGTAGAGCTTGAACGGCCCCCCCACGAAGTGGGGGTATTGGCTGGTGTCGCAAGAAAACCCTGGCACTGGGGAGAACACTGAGCGTTCGGGTAAAATGATTGTTGTTGAACATTATTCCTTCTAAAGAATTATTATTGTTGGGACCCCTGGTGCGCGACCTCTGCGCCGCGCCTAGGCCGCAGCTACATTTTCATCATTTTTTCGCGAAAGCTTCAGAAAAGTGGATTACCCCCGGATCCGGTTTTTTGTTGACGCTCGTTTTCCCTTGCAAAAAACACTAGAAAATGAAAATTCTTGTTCTTACTTGATCAAATTGCAAGAATCCCTTGCAAAAAATAAGGTAAAGTGGACATTCGCGCGCGCAAGACGAAATCCTTCCAAAACCTTAGGTTTCGTAGCGATTTTAACATAAAAACATCAAAAACCCAATGGTTTTTTAAGAAAAAATTGTCAAAATGTCCTTCCGCGCGCGCTGTCCGAATCCCACAAAACCAATGGTTTTTCAACATTTATGTTACATGAGCTCGCGCGAGCTACTTTTTCTTGTTCTAACATAATCAAATTTCAATAATCCCTTGCAAAAAATAAGGTAAAGTGGACATTCGCGCGCGCAAGACGAAATCCTTCCAGAACCTTAGGTTTCGTAGCGATTTCAACATAAAAACATCAAAAACCCAATGGTTTTTCAAAAAAAAATGTCCAAATTTCATCCCGCGCGCGCTGTCCGACTCCCACAAAATCAATGGTTTTTCAACATTTGTGTTACATGAGCTCGCGCGAGCTACTTTTTCTTGTTCTAACATAATCAAATTTCAATAATCCCTTGCAAAAAAAATGTAAAGTGGACATTCGCGCGCGCAAGACCAACAAAAAACACGACGATCTCAGGAACTTGCCCCAAAAATGTGACCAACTCCGCTCTCTCTGTCTCTCTCTCTGTCTGCTCTCTGTCTCTCTCTCTGTCTGTCTGTGTCATGTATTGTATGTCACAATTGCAGGATGCTGGGCACACG